GCTCTAAGCTGCTTTTATGATATGGGGGAGTGGGAAAAGAGGATTGGATTGATTCATTCATGACTCAGGGAGTGAGTCTGTCCCTTTAAGAACACACCCAGGTAGGTGACCTGAGGGAGACATAATTGAGCCTTCTCCTTAGAGACTTTGTATTCCTGGAGGCCAGAAAGTTTTGTTTTTTTTTTTTTAAAGGACTCAGTCACCCTGCAGGTGAGGGGCTCCTTGGCTCTGCACTGAAGTAAGTCATATTGAAGAAGGGTGGCCTCTGGGAAGTGCCAATCTAATAAGTCTCTGGTTAGGTCTTGTCCACAAAGATGAGGGCTGTCTTTAAACTCTTGTGGCAAAACTGACCAGGTTAGTTGCTATGAAGCATTTGTGGGACCTTTAAAGGCAAATAGAGGCTGACTGTCAGAATGCAGGTTAAATGTAGCACTTTTGGATAAAAAAGAGCTTTAGCTCATTATTTTATATAAACTGACACTTTTAACTCTGTAAATGTTTGTATCATATTTAGATAAAGTATAGACACAGAACACGGTTATAAGATGGTCATTTAAGAAAACTTTGCATGAGCAAATACATAAATGAACTGATTTAATAGTACTTAAAGCTTGACAAGATCAACAGAAACAAAGTAATTTCTTTGATAAAATCTTTCTGTATAACAGTTTTTTTGTAGATGTTACTCAGAGCAGAATAATATTAAGATAGCCTTATTATTTTATGGACATAGAGAATTAGATTTTAGTTTGATATGACCTTAAGAATCTTTTAGGCAACTTTTAGATTATAGTCAACTTTAACCTTATCACACACTGAAGCTTTTATTATATCCTTTTAAAACTTACTCAGAACCTTCACACAACATACTAAACCCTTTGATGGTTTGTCCTTATCCCTCCTCTCCATATTTGAAACAATCTTTAGGACAAACCCTTCTTAACAAAATCCTTTCTCATCCAAAAAAACCATTCCTTTTTCCTTCAACTTCTCAAAAATACACTCAATACCTATCTATATCCTTTCCAGTTGTTTACTTTGTAACTTGTATTTTAAATTTAACTTTTATAAGAATTTTAAATTTAAGTAAAACTGTCTTAACTTTTTGGCTGATGGATGAGACCATCCACCCCCACCATGGAGATCTGTGAAGGATAATGCTTACCTGAAATGTCAGGTAGCACCAAGTAGGTGACTGAGGCCTACCTGCCACTTGGACGGTTACCCTGGGCTTCTCCAAGGTGATCTTGAAGGGGGCCAAGGTCCCAGGGCCATGTCAGTCTTCTGCCGCCAGACCCAAGAGGTACATGAGGCCTTCACTCTGTTGAGAGTAGGAGTGGGGACAACAAAGAGGGGCAGTCGTCCCTCCAGTGCCCATTCTGGCTACATTGTGGACAGGGTCCTGGCGGTGGGCGAGGTGAAGGGCAATTTTTTTGCCCAATGTCTTGTCTGGTTGTACTTGAAGCAGGCCCCTGAAGGTGTGCATTGTTGTCTGGCCCATCTCGAAGTTGAAGGAGGTGGCCTCAGGGTAGCTGCCAAGAGCTGGGCCTTTCGCTGGTCTCAAGCCTCATCTCAGTTATTAAATACCTTAAATGCCATTTTCACAAGATCTTCTGCCTGTTTAATTTTCTTACAATATCAGGGAAGGATTGGGAAATAAAATGAGAGTTGAGAATAATTATTCTATCCTTGGAAATGGGTCTCATGCTAAGTCATATCATATGCTTGGGTTAGGTATTTAAATTCTTTAATATAGGTGGTTGAGTCATTAGAGAAGGAGTTTAGTCTCTTTTCAATTTTAGAGAGATCAGTCATGGGAAAGGGCATATGAACTGTGATAATGCCATCAGCTCCTGCCACCTCCGAGAGTGGTACAGGTGGACTGAGTATGCTTGGGAGGAGGTATGGGAGCAGGCATGGGATGCAGGTGGGGAGGAGAAGGGTGAGGGTGTAGCAGGGGCTGAGGGCAAGGCTGGTGGTGTTGGCACCTGAGGAGCCGATGGCTTAAGGTCAATTGTGGCCACTGCAGAAAGGAATAGGGGGGGTGGATGTTTGGGAGAGCCATTGGGGTGGAAAAGCGGGGGGGTCTCAGTCATGGGAGGATGCGGTGGGAGAAGAGATTGAATAGAGGACCAGTGGGAGGAGTTGGGAGGTGGACAGACAGAGTCCGTGAGGTCACAAGTAAGAGAGTTCAGTGGGAGGGAGAGACAGACTTTGAGGGGGGTTTGTCACTGGCAAGGAGGATTTGAACAGCGTTACAAGATTGGAGCAGGGAGGGTCAAGAGCGGAGAGAAAGAAAAGCTTGGACGAATGGAATTTTGGATCACTTGCTGTTGCAATGGCAGAAATTGTCAAGATCTAGAAGTGTGTGAAAATCAGAAGTACCATTTTCAGGCCATTGTGAATGATCCTCTAGTTTGTACTAAGGCCAAACGGTGTTGCAGTCATAGATTAGTTGCTTAGGTTATATATTGTCTTGGAGACCAAGGGGGAAGGTGTGGAGAAGGCATCCCAGTGTACACGTCTAATGTAGAGTAGGAGGTCCCCATAATGTAGAAGTAGAGAGAGAAAGAACGAGGCAGGTGCCTTGGTGAGTTTACTCTTCAGGCCAATATAGGCCTAGGTCAAGGTCTAGCCTCCCTTATGTGATTCAGGCAAGAAGAGCAGAATTGTCCAGTTGCATTTGGTCAAAGTAAGCCAGAGGGGCTGTTGAGCTCTCACCCTAGGCAGAGGAAAGGAAAACAGGGAGAGAGAGCAAGAGAGAGAGGGAGAGAGAGTGGGAGTGTCACCTGAGTGGGTTCCCAAGGGCGGGCATCCCCGGCCTGGGTTGCCATCTAACAGGAAGTGTCCCAACCAGTTAGCCAGGTGTTCCTGTGCTAAGTGGTGGGTGCCCCAGCGGGCAGGAGAGGCATACCTGGCATGGCTACAACTTCAGGACCAGGCAGAGCAGGTAGCCCTGGCAGGAGGGTGACACTTACAGAGTCTGAGGAGTAGGTCAGGTGGAAAGCAGTGGGAGAGAGGCTAATGATGGATGGGAAAGCCAGCAAGGCAGTAAGGTCCAAAATCCACAGTCTGGAGGCATATGGGGTCAATTCAGCAGTCTGGGTTCAGGAGAGGGCAGGACATGAAAGCCAAGGGAGCAGCCCCAGGCCGGAGCGTCCTGTTAACTCCTCCCGGTTTCGGCACTAGATGTAAAGTACTGCCAAATAAAGACCACGCCACGTGTGGAAAAGAAAGATTTATTGGAACCAGACTGCACGGCTGTCACTCTCCAGTTCAGAGTGAAGCAGCTTGGCTGAAACGAGTAGTGGGCTTTATAGGAGGGGCCAAGCCATGGGGGATGGAGAGTCTCTGGCCTCCGATTACCTACCATTGACAATCGCCAGATGGAACAGGTCGACATGCCTGGCTAGTTGAGTAACTGGAAGTTCCTGAATTGTTTTGCAAGCCAAGAAACAATCAGGCAGGGAAACATGTAGGGGAAAAACAAGCCGTCATAAATCAGGGGGTCTGGTTTCGGTGCTAGCCTTGGGACTTTCCACCTGCCCCAAGAATGCCAGGGACCTAAGAGTTTTTATAGACAGAAGGGCTTGAAGAAAGTAGAAGTAAACACAAAAAGCACATTGGCCATTTCAGAGACTGTCTGCTTCTTAAACAGGGACAGAGAGTCAGTACACTATAGCTGACTAGTTAACATCAGGGCATTTCAAGTTACCTGTCTGATGCAAGAATTAAAGTAGAAGGAATTTCATTATTATGCCAATTGAAACTAGCCTGTTTGGGAAATTTGGCTGTTCCAGTTCTAATCCTGATTTCTTGGACGGTCAGATAAACAGCTTAGTTTCAGCTTGGTGAGTTAAGACTTTACCAAGAGGGATTCCATTTTGATTTTTCACTTGGTCCTTGTGGCCTAGAGCAGGAGTTTAGTCCAAACCCATCGCTTCCTGTAACATATTTAAAAACACTTACACTTAACTTACATTTTTCTCCATCCCCTTGCAGGACCTCCTTCCTATTATTATTTGGAGTGAGCCTTCTAATTCCCATATCCAGATGGGAAAGAAGGGTCATTTCTAACTGTCTTCAGACCATGGGGGAATGGGTACGTAGGGTAAGGAAGTGGCAAGCAAAGCCACCTCTGTAGGCAGATAGGAGCAAAAGCCGTCAGACTTCTGCCCAATGGTAACATTTTGTAATGGTTGCCCAACTAAACTTCAGTAGGAAAAGCAATTGCTGTTAGAAAATATTGAGTCACAGCGTGTACGTCCCTCTTAATGACGTAGGCTGGACAAGGCACCCCAACACCAAAGGCATGATCCCCTGGTTCCCTGCCCCCCATCCCGGTCATGGGGCTTGCTCCTCAGGTGCTGAGCCCTACGGAACCTGCTGCACCTGCCTGGCCCTTCTTCAAGATGGCTTCCACACGACGGCAAAACGAATGAGCTATAGGTGCCAACGTGCAGAGGCGGTCTGTGCGCCCCAGCCCTGAGACTTGATGCTGAGACAGCCAGAGGGGTGACCCCAACTTGACGCCTTTTACCACCCCTAGGCCCTATTCCGTCATCCTGTCCTCCCTCGCTCGGTTCCTTTTCTTTCGCCTTTGTAAAGCAACGCGGAAGCGGGCACAGGCGGCCGGGAGGCTGCGGGGACGCGCGTGCTCCTGCGGGCGGGCGGGCCGGGCGCCGAGGGCCGCGCGACCGGACGGAACCGGCGGCGGGTCCGGGCGGAAGAGCGGCGGGCGCGGGGAGGGGGCAGGGGCTGGGGCGGGGGACTGGGACCGCCCCACCGGGTGCCGTCGGGTGCCCCGCGCGCGGTCGCCCGGCCTTTTTTGGTACTGCGGGAGCGCAGTGCAGGGCCGCCCCTCCGCGGTGGGGGAGCTGCACAGCTCGGCCGGGCCGCCATCCTTCGGCGCGCCCCACCCACCCGGAGCCCGGGAGCGCGCGGGGACGGCTGGGCTAGCGCTCACCGCGGCGGGAAGCCCCTGGGCTTCCCGGGACGCCCCCGCGCCCCCAGCCATGTCGGCCGAGGAGATGGTGCAGATCCGCCTGGAGGACCGCTACTACCCGGTGAGCAAGAGGAAGCTTATCGAGCAGAGCGACTACTTCCGCGCCCTCTACCGCTCCGGCATGCGCGAGGCCCTGAGCCCCGAGGCCGGCGGCCCGGAGGTGCAGCAGCTGCGCGGCCTGAGCGCGCCGGGCCTGCGCCTGGTGCTCGACTTCATCAACGCCGGCGGCGCCCGCGAAGGCTGGCTCCTGGGCCCGCGCGCCGAGCAGGGCGGAGCGGGGGACGCGGATGAGGACGGGGACGAGGGGAGCCTGCTGTCCGAGCTGGTGGAAGCCGCCTCCTTCCTGCAGGTCACGTCCCTGCTGCAGCTGCTGCTGTCCCAGGTGCGGCTGGGCAACTGCCTGGAGATGTACCGCCTGGCGCAGGTGTATGGGCTCCCCGATCTGCAGGACGCCTGCCTGCGCTTCATGGTCCTGCACTTCCATGAGGTGCTGTGCAAGCCCCAGTTCCAACTCCTGAGCTCTCCTCCCCAAGCCCCGGGGGACATCAGCCTCAAGCAGAGGCTGAGGGAGGCCCGGATGGCTGGGACTCCTGTTCTCGTGGCCCTGGGAGACTTCCTCGGGGGACCCCTGGCCCCGCATCCCTACCAAGGGGAACCCCCGTCCATGCTCAGGTATGAGGAGATGACGGAGCGCTGGTTCCCGCTGGCCAACAACCTTCCTCCCGACCTGGTGAATGTCAGGGGTTATGGGTCCGCCATCCTGGACAACTACCTGTTCATTGTGGGCGGGTACAGGATCACCAGCCAGGAGATCTCCGCGGCGCACTCCTACAACCCCAGCACCAATGAGTGGCTCCAGGTGGCCTCTATGAACCAGAAGAGGTAAGCAAGCGCCCGCCCAGTAGAGCCTGCTTCTTTCTCATCCCTTCACCTGTTCCTTCCTTCATCCACCTCAGCGTTTATTGGCAGCTGAGGTGGGAATGACAACTTCAGGAGTGTCGCCGGCCTTGACTCTGGCATAGTTCCCAGTAAGCTAAGAAGTTGCAAGGAAGAAGAGGCCTGAGTGAGGTCAGCTAGCTGAGTGGTTTTCTTGTGGGTACTAAGCCTCGAGGTAAAACTGATTTCTTTGCCTCTCTCCTGGTGAAAGAAGATGTGGTTTCCGAGGATACGTTTTAATTTTTTGCAGTACTGGAGTTTGAACTCAGGGCCTACACCTTGAGCCACTCCACCAGCCCTGTTTTATGTTGGATATTTTTCGAGATAGGATCTCAGGAACTGTTTCCCCAGGCTGGTTTTGAACTGTGATCCTCCTGATCTCTGCCTTCTGAGTAGTTAGGATACAGGCGTGAGCCACTGGCTTGAGAAGGATACTTTAAAAGAACACTGCTATTTGCTTTTTTCTTATTTTGACTTTTTAATCTTTAGAGTCTAATCCTAAGGACAGTCATCTGTAGCATTGACTTTGGGGGATTTTTCTGTTAGTGACTTTTCCACATTGGGGCACCAATCCATGACTGAGAGACAAGTCCCCAGAAAGTTATTAATATTTGCTATATAGGATTACACACTCTGTCGCTTTCTCTTTCTCTTCCTTTTTTCTTTCTTTCCTTCCCCAACAGCCACCATCATTGATCCAAACTTGAATGTGGCTGGTTAACTAGAGTTGGAATGCAGTCATTCCTCAGTATCCATTATCTGGGGGATTGGTTCCAGGCCGCCCTCAAGATTGTGAATGCTCAAGTCCCTTATATAAAACGGCTGGAGGATTTACACAGAGCCCATGCACATCATCCCATATACTTTCAAGTTTTTTTTTTTTTTTGTATTTGTTTTCATTCTCTCTTTTTTGGTTGGTGCTGGGGTTTGAACTCAGAGCCTTGTGCTTGTTAGGCAGGCACTCTTCCACTTGAGCTACATTCCCAGCCCTTTTTTGCTTTAGTTATATTTCAGATAGGGTCAGGCTGGCCTCTGCCGATAATCCTTCTACCTACACCTGTCATGTAGCTGGGCTCACAGGCGTGCACCATCACACCCAGCTTCTTTGTTGTGATGGGTTCTGGCTAACTTTGCCTGGGCCAGCCTTGATCATGATCATCCTAAGTAACTGGGGTTATGGGAATGAATTACCATGCCCAGCCCTGTTATTTTTAAGACTAAGTCTTGCTTTGTTGCCCAGGCTGCTGGTCTTGAACTTATGGGCTTAAGTGACCTCCCACCTTAGCCTACCAAGTAGCTGACACTACAGGTATGAACTACCACACTGGTCTTAAATATTACAGACTTTTAGCTATGGTTTTTTTTTGTGTTGGTTTGTTCTTGTTGCCCAGTCTAGTATGGAACTCCTGGGCTCAAGTGGTCCTCCCTCTTCAGCCTTCTGAGTGCTGGGACAACAGGTGCTCACCACCATGCCTGGTTCCCCCATAAAATTATCTCTGGATTACTATAATTTCTGGCATACTGTAAATGTTATGAAAGTGGTTGTTATGCTGAAGTGTTAGGAAGCAATGACAAGAAAATGTCTGTACGTGCTCAGTACAAATGAAATTTTTTTCTGGATATTTTCCATCCATGGTTCATTGAATCCATGGATGCAGAACAAAGAACCAAATGCGTTTCCATCCATCCCAACCATCTCCCTTCCTATCCTGCTTCTGCCATGAACATGGGTGACTTAAAGAAGGGAAAAAAAAGGAGGCACTTGGGGGTGGAGTGGGAGGGGAAGCAGGGAAATGAGCCAGGAGAGACTAAAAACAAGGATAAAGAGAGAAATATAGGATAAGTGACAGGAATAAGGATAGCAGGGCCACGATGCCTCAGAAACCCCGATTCAAAGTAAGGAGAGGAATCGGCATCACCCAGGAAAGGACAGGAATACCCAGTGCACGTGTTGCCACCTCCAGCCCCACCACCTGCCCTAAAATGTGGGGCAAGGAGTCTGGGAGCACCCAGCTAGGCAAAGAAGGCCTGGATAGCAGTGGGGGTCCAGCATACACATTTATTCCTTTTGAGGGTCCTCCTCACCAGCGAGGGAATATTTGGGGGGAACTTGGTTAATTTTTACTGTAACATAAAATGCATTTGGGAAAGTGTGCTTTTTTTTTTTCTGACTATAAACATACTACACAGAGCACTGAAGAAGCAGAGAGCCTATGTCACCCTTCCTTCTTCCCCCTAAAGGCATTAACTATAGGTTGGCACATTTTTCCTCCAACCTCCACCCCTTTTTTCTGGTGGTACTAGGATTTGAACAAAGGACTCTGTGCTTGCTAGGCAGGTGCTGTGCCAGGAGAGCCACTCTTCCATCCCTTTTTGCTTTATTTTTCAGGTAGAATCTCATGCTTTTTGCCCAGGATTGGCCTCAGACTTCAATCCTCTTATCTGTGCCTCCCAAGTAACCAGGATTACAGTTGTGGGCCTGGCCTCATCCAGCCCCTAGTTAATGCATTATTTATATCATTGAGATACCATATTTAAAATTTCATGTCAAAAGTGTTACTTTTAAGCAAACGTTAAGAGTGTTGATTGAACCAACAAAGGAACATTCAGTAGTTATATGTAAGTGGTGCTCTGTGTGGGGATGGAAGGTCCTGGGTTCTGTAGTACTTTTACTTGCCTCTAACTATATCAACTTGTACTCAACACTCCATCCTTAGCTCTACAACCATATCAGTGCACCTTATAGCATTTTTTTCATTCACAAATCCTTGGTAGTTCCCGCCCCACCGCCTTGCCCCCAAATGACTTTTCTGTGCTTTTAAAAAAAAGTATTCATGTTGGTGGAGTGGTTCAAGTGGAAGACCACTTGCCTAGCAAGAGTGAGGCCCTGAGTTCAATCCCCAATACTGCTAAAAACCCAACCAACCAACCAAAAAAAAGTATTCAAGTAATGCATAAGTACATACTTCTTAGAAAAAATCAAAAAAGACTTGAAAAACTATAGAGAAGAGTAAGTGTATCTGTGTTAGTTTCCTTGTTACTGTGACAATACCTGAGGAAACAACTTAAGGGAGGGTGGATTCATTTTGTCTCATGATTTTAGAGGTTCCACTCCATGGCCACTTGGTTCTACTCCTGGCTCATGCATGGTGAGGCAGAGTGTGATGTTGGGGAGTGTGTGGTGAGCAAGGTGACTCAGCTCATGGACAGGAGGCAGAGCAAGATGAGTCCCAAGATAAGATATATCCTTCCAAGGCACAGCCCCCATTGACCCACTTCCTGCAACTGGGATCCACCTGCTGATACTGCCATTAAACTATGAATCTGTCAACAGATTCATCCATTGATTAGATCTAATCACTTCACAAAAGTCCTACTACTTCTGAATGTTGTATTGGGGACGGAGCCTTTGACACACCAGCCTTCAGGGGATGTTTCATATCCAAACCACAACAGTACCTATAGGTATCTAGTTAAGTATTATAAGTGTATAGACATATAAGTTATATGCCTTTATAAACATGAGTGTTGGTAATGGTTCACAGTGGGAGTGTATATCACCTTATGCATAATTATTTTTGTTCTAAAATTACTGGCTTGTGTTGATTATTATTAACAGTGTATTGTACCTCAGTTTTCTCTGTATCCACAAATGCAGATCCACCTTGGTCTTGTTAATGACTGTGTAGCATTCTAGCCATGGATATACCATAATGCCATTAGCTTTTCCCTTACTCGTGAACATTTAAGTCACTTCCGTTTGCCACTGTAAGCAGTGCTGCTATATGTGCTTGCATATTTTAGTAGGCACACATGAGTTCTGTATGTTAAAATCTTGGACTCCCTGGGTGGGCAGGGCAAAGTGCATGCACATTTTAAAGTTTGGTACCTCACCACAAAACTTCTAATTTCCTCTTCCATCAACAGTGCCAGTTTCCTACACTGTTGCCAAGATGAGATACTACCATCCCTCCCCCTCCCCCTTAATGGGCAAAAACACTGGTGTGATTTTCCCTGATTAGAAGAAAGATTATTCTTTTCGTATGTTTATTGGTTCTTTGTACTTCTTTTATAAATAAGTGGTCTTTGCCAATTTTTAAAAAAATTGGTTAAATTTTTTCATATTCATCTTACAAGGTATACACACAGAGATCTCTTGTTCGTTATGCAGTACTGCACATGTTTTCACTTGCTTTTTTTTTTTTTTTCTCATATGCTTCAAAGCTGAAGTCCCAAAGTGACCAGGCAGGTAAAGTCACTGGCTAGATGGGCGGCTGAGAGTGCTGATGAACCAGAGAGCTGCTACCCCACCAAAAGGGGGCTCCACACTCAGCCACACCTGGCTATGCCCAAGTGGAAGTGAGGAAATTGTGTTGCTAGGCATCCAAATGTACCAGTTTTTAGATGTTGGCCATTTGCTCTGAAATCGTAAGCAGTAAAAACCTTGTAGAGCAAGCAACCTGGTGAGCATCAAGTCTTAGACTGCAGGCTTGTAGTGTCTTCTTGTAGGAAGACATTTTCATGGTTGTGAAGTTGGATTTGTCATGTGTGTTTTATGAATTCTGGATTTTGTACAGGAAAATCTTCTACTAAAAATCCTCTGTTAAAAATCTGAAAATGTTGTCTATATCATGTTCTCTCTTACAGTTTTGACTTTAACGTCCAGATCTGAATGTGTTTGGGATTTATTTTCACACGAGGAATAATGTAAGATTATACAACTTTTGTCTGAATGTCCCAACAGCTTCCATTCTTCTCACTGTCGTTTGCAAAATCAGTTATCATGTGCTAATTTTCCTATTTCTAATTTGGTAGATTGTCATAATTTTAAATTAATTTAGCTTAGCAATACATTTTGTTGTCTGGTAAAAATGAAACCTCTCTGTTTTATTTTAATTCTCTTAGCTATTTTTTTACACATTTTCTCCTTCAGATAAACTTTAGAA